TATTATATTTATATAAAATTTTAATTATTTATTTTTATTTTTAATAAATAAAATTTTATATACTTATATACACAGAGGTGCACATAATACATATGCATAAACTTTCGGCATAAAAAAGGATGCATCAACATTCATCTAAACTTTGGAGAAATAATTTACAAGGTCCTCTAAATTTTATTTTTCTTATTTTTAATCTTTAAAAAAGGTTAAATGCAAATGTACTTGTCCTCGTCACATTTCTAAAAAGAAAAAAGGCAAGAATAATGAAAGTGCATATAAATTGAGAAGCCAAAAAACATACATAGACTGTTCAAGGACCACTTATACCATGTTCTCATTTCCATACATAGGAGAGCCAGGAGTCTATGACATGCATATGATATGAATGCTTGGCAATTTAAAATCCAGAGACTACATTTAATATTTAATCTAATAATTATTGACTCGTTATCACTAGAAAGTTTACTTTCTCTTCAACCAGTCTAGAAACCATTTTAAGAAAAAAGATTGAAGTGGTTGATACTTCCCCTTTTCTCTTTTTTTTTTTTTTTTTTAACAAAGGAAAAATGCGGTGATGTAGAAATATATGAAAAGACAAAAAAAATTAAGTGAATTCTATTAATTTTAAGTAAAATATTTCTAACACCTATTGAAAATTATTTAACATTTTTTTATGGAGACTGAGCACTTTGAAGACATGCTCAGGTCTAAAATCTTTTAGAATTTTAACCCCTTGGAAAGAGTGCCATGTTGTTTAAATGGTATTATATTGTATAATATTTATTAATTAATAAAAATAAATGTTTTAACATAAAAATATTCATTTTTTAAATTATATTTTATAATTTAATGTAATTGCTACAATCCTTAAATTCATACATGAGAAAAGATCATATTAGTGTGTAATTATCATTAGTATGTGGGCGAAAAGGGTATTTTAACTTGTGTATTTTTTGATATTGTTAAGATAAATCCTTAATTTTTTTTTTTAATATTTGAATCCTATGACTTATATATTGAAATAAATTAACTCACATACTTTTTGGTTGAAATAAACTAATCTAAATCTAATGTATGACGTCATAAAACATCAATTTACCATGAAACCCAATTATTTACTATTAATACATTATTGACTTGGCACATGTGGGACTCGATTTAATGACATGGTATTATATGGACTACTTTTTAATTATTCAATCCATCAAATTTACAATTTTACCCTCATTTTCTTCCTCAGCATCCTTTTTCTCAAATCTTCTTCATTCATTCTAAATCAAATAATCAATTCAATGAAATCAATTAATTCATCATCATCATTATCAAACAAAATTGCCTCATCCAAGGCTTACTAGGTTCGAAAAAACCCAGTGGAGCTACTAGGGGTTTGAAAGAACCCAACAGTTGCTGGGTTCGATTATTTCTTCTCCCCCTCTTCTTCCAATTCCCATTTCTCACCCCTTTGTATTTATTTCCCTCCTTCCCTTCTCACTTCCCACTCCTATATTTCCTCCTTGACAATTCAAATTCATCTTCTTCCAACAGCTCCAAATCTTTTCCAAGGCCAAAAATGTCAGGATTGGGAGCCCTGCATTCCAAATCTTATCCAAATTGATCTCAATTCAAACCGACACAAACTATAGAGAAGCCATGGAAAAATCTCCACCGCTAGATTTTGCTCCTTCACCTTAGCACTACATCACCACCACCACCACCACCACTACTAGGTTCTCAAACCTAGTGAATTTGCTTGGTTCGAGAAGCCAATAAGGGCAAACGAAAGAGAAAGGATTGAGATGAATAGATGGGTTTCACAGTAAACTAACGTTTTATGATGTAATACGTTAAATTTAAGTTAATTTATTTAAATGTATAAGTCAATAGATTCAAATATTTCAAAAAAAAGTTGGAGGGTTTATCTCAATAATATCAAAAAGTACATGAGTTAAAGTACCCTTTTTGCCTTAGTACGTTCTACAGTGTCATTTAATGAAACCGTGAGCACCGATTGATGTCCTTCTTTTTTTTTTTATTGGTCCCTGTATTTAACTGCTTAATTTATTTTGATCCATTAATTTTTATAGTTTAAATTTTAATTAGATTTAGAGATTTTAAGATTCAAGTTTATAATTTTATATGATATTATAACTATACTATTTCTAAATACAAATACTTTTCATAAACTAACTGATTAACCTCAGCTGATTAATGTGGCCGCTCTCTTATTATTACATCAAGATTTTCTCAATTAACTTAACAAGCTAATTAAGCCACTAATATAAGCAGTCACAGTTTTGCCACATCTTGATGTAGCTCCATAGAAAGTGGTTTACAATTCAAACTTTGCGAAGACAGATATATGTTTCTGAATTCTTGTTTGAAAGTTTTGAATAATTAATCCACATAAGAAACTTTCAGGAGGCACGCTTGATTTCAAGATGGCCTTCCTCATTACCGACTAATTTATAATTGGTTAAACATCTAATTTGATCCCTGAACTATTATATAAACCTTGGATTTGATCTCTAAACTAAAAAAATTCATGATTTGGTCCTTGAAATATTGTACGGACCCCGCAATTTGGTCCATACTGTTTATTAATTTAACCCTAAGTTAGTCCTTCCGTACAAAAAACAACTGACCATTACTTAACAGCAAAAAATAGTTACTTAATAATCATGTGTCACATTAATAACGAGACACATCAACTGTTTTTTTTGTATAAAAAGACCAACTTGAGGTAACTTGGTAAACAATAAGGATCAACTCGAAGGTCATATAATAGTTCATGAATCAAATTAGAGATTTTTTAAGTATAGAGATCAAATCGAGGGTCCGCATAATAGTTCAAAAAGCAAATTGGAAATTTAACCTTTATAATTTTATCCTATGCGCTCAATTCCTCCCCAACTTCCACCGGTTAATTCGGATGAGTCAATCAAAATTCCCATAAAATATTTCTAACAATATTTAGTATTTGAAGAACATACACATCACTACAATGATGCATAATTAATACAATTGACTTTTTTTCATTTAAAACGTAAGATTTTTTTTTATCTGTAATCTTAGGCTATAAATTAAGAGATATAATTAATACTTTTTTTATAATTAATTTGTATGATAATAATAAATCTTGATTTTGAATCAATTAGTTAACCAATTAAAATCATCTACGTGTCAATGGTATTAAATAAATGTTAACTTTTATAATTTTTTATATAAATTAATTATGAAATGATATATTTATTGCACTTTAACTTGTCTCATTAAAATATAAATTAGACAAATCTTAAAATATATGAATCAATATTAATTCACTCATTTGACTATTTTTTTTTAAGAGTTTCGTGATCAAGGTGTTTCATAATTATTTTTTTAAGAGTTTACATATATTTCAAAATTAATTATTTTTTAATCTAACGAAAGGCAGATTATTCACTCTGGAACTATTGTGAATTTACTACTTTTAATATCACATTGATATATTCTATTAAAATCTTGTCTAAACAGATGAAGGTTAGGGCTCGGCTCTCATAGAAAAAAAAATGGAATTCTAATTTAAAATTTTATCAATTTTTAGATTGATTAAGTATTCCTAACTAGTTCATTAATTATACCTAATATAAATACAATATTATAAAATATTTTAAAAAATACAATTTCTTTTCATGACATGGACTCTACCTTTAGAAATAATGTCTACCTTTATATTTTGTATTAGGAAATGATTTTGGGATAATTTTTTGTATTAATTTTTAGTATAACTTGACGTGTCATTTTAAATAATTAATTTTTTAATTTATGTGAGACCCAATAATATTAAATGTATTTACTCATTTAATAATTTATAAAAATTATATCAAAAAAATAATATAAAAAAATAATCCCTATAGAACTACCATTTTGTACCATAAATGCATCCTTTAAGGAAAAGGTGCAAGAAAAATCATATCATATAAGTAAACAAAAACCATGTGTTGGTCCGATTGAAAGGTGTTTGGTTAGATTTGAGTTCGAGTCTTGTGAATGGAAACACATGTACTGAGAGAATTTTTATTTCTAATGGGGTCTGACGTAATTCAATTTCGAATTAGTCAGTACCCATTGTAATTACTGAATATTAAAAGGTTAAGAAAAAAAAAACTAGAAGAAAAAAGAGCATGTGAAAATACTAGCAAAGTAGGTGAGGCATTAAATATTAAGTGATAACAACGTTTCACACCAACTAGCATTTAATTTAGGTGGCCAACAGCCAAACCATAAATTCTCATGCACCGTTCCTTTCTCCTTGTTATTCCCTGCTCTGCTTTCTTTCTTCCCTACCTCTCGAAAAATCTCTCTTTCAGATTTTGAAGTTTAATTTGAGATCATTTTCCTCCAACAAACCCGGAGAAGAAATGGTGGGCATCATTTCATTGGTTACAGGACGGCCAGGTCCGAGTGGGTTTGGGTCGGGGTCAACTGCCGAACAGGTTACTGAAGGTGTCGACGGAAGCAACCTCACTGCCATTATTACCGGTAAGGCTTCTGGTTGTTATCATTGGTTTTATAATTCTGCGACGCATTTGGTCGAACAATAAGAGTGCAATATTAGTTAAACTCTTCTTTCACCAAATGGGACCAACCGCCTCCTGTTCATGGTCCAGCGTCCTAGACTAGACTCCTGGACACAAGTTCCATGGAAAGATTATCCTTGGTAGTGAATTTTCACGATTACTGCAAAAATCTTGTCTGATTCCTCTCCCCACAAATTCCATTTTCCCTTTTCCCGTTTGTATAAGTTTCCCTTTATGTTTCTGTTTCAATGTTTCTCCCGCTGCTTTTATTGTTTCATATGCTTTACTTGCAGTTGCTATTATTTGCTACCCTCTCTGATAAACATTTTTAACGTTTTCTTCTTTTTGAACATTTTTGTTTTACCTAGTTTCCATGTGCTTTTAAAGAATTTGCAGCCCATGTTTCCTCTGTTGGAGTTTTTGTAGCGGGACCGTAGAAGTGCCAAATGCTAAAATTTATAGAATAAATAAAATTATCAAATTTAATTAGAGGTTTAACAATACAAGCTTTATCAATCAAAAAACAAAACCAATAAAAGCTTTACTTTAGAAATTACTAGGATTTTTCTAACATATTTGTGCATGGTACGAATCAAGAATATAATTAAATATTTTTTTAAATGTTAAAGGGTATTAAATATGACAAAAACTAATTTTAATTTCATTATTAACATAATGTGGTCCACTTTAATTAAATAATTAGTTTAAAAAATCAACTTTTATTTTTAATATTAATTAATATAAAAAAAATACTTTTAACCAATACCTTTAATTAAGACACCCTTAGAAAAATCCAATTATAAAATTACAACTTCAACTTTTTACTGTTTAAAAGCTAATTTATAATCGAATGGCTCGTTCCGGTCCAATGGTATTGAATTCTGAATTAGAACTGTTCACCTCTTCGTGAGTGGCATGTTCAAGTCCCATAAAACTTATTTTCCCCCTCCCCATGTAAATAATACCAAAATTGTTAAAAAAAAAAAGAAGCTAATTTATAATCACCTTTAAGAAACCTGAATTATTTGGTCAAGCTTGGACTTTTGGAGTAGGGTGGTTGTTTCATAAGCATGATCTACATTTACTCTGACTTATTAGTAGTTGAATAGAAATTAATGATGGATCTGATTTCAAAGTGATGCTTAGTAAAAGAAAAGAAAAGGGTATTTTTAGAGCAATACAAAAATTACGGTGTGAATGTAGGAGGGGCAAGTGGAATTGGGTTGGAGACGTCGAGGGTTTTAGCTCTCAGAAAAGTTCATGTCATTATCGCTGCGAGGAACTTGAAGGCTGCCAGTGAAGCAAAACAGTTTATTCTTGAAAAGGATGAGACCGCCCGTGTTGATGTCCTAGAGCTCGATCTCTCCTCCATCAAGTCTATTAATGCATTTGCTGAAAGTTTCAATGCTCTAAACATTCCACTCAATATATTGATGTAATTTTCTCTAGTCTCTCTTCTCTATCATCTCAATTTCATTAAGAAAATGCTGTTTTTCGGTGTGTATGGTTGCACTTAAAAACATCAATCTAAGGTGAAAAAATATAAAAATACTATTTAAAGATATTGTTGTCTTTTCAAATCCCAACGGTAAAAGCATTTCTATCTTATTTATAATGAAAATTGATTTGTTTTACAGAAACAATGCTGGCATCATGTTCTGCCCCTACCGCCTCTCTCAAGATGGAATAGAGATGCAATTTGCAACAAATCATGTTGGTAGGTAGTGAATAATTATGTCCATTAATCCATTTAGTAATCCCTCACTAATTGTATTTAATGAATAGGTCCAACTTTGGTTAATCTTCATCTAATGTAGTTAATGTTTGCCTGTACTTGTGTACGTAGGCCATTTTCTCCTAACCAACCTCCTCCTAGATAAAATGAAGAACACAGCAAAAACGACAGGAATTGAAGGCAGGATCATAAACTTGTCCTCAATAGCGCACCAGTACAGTTACAAAGACGGGGTCCGGTTTGCAAACATTAACGGCGGAGCTGGGTGCACATGCTAACCCTTCTCTCTCCATGACTTTTTCCCAGAATCAGATTATGATTTCTTCTGTCACAAATTTTGTTTCAGATACAATGACAAAAAGGCCTATGGGCAATCCAAGTTAGCAAACATATTGCATGCCAATGAGCTCTCACGTCGATTGCAGGTTATCCAATATTTTTGGCTCTCATTCATATCCTGTGGATCTAAGTTGAAATACCCAATCAAGTTACTGAGATTTTTGGTTTAATGGTGTCCAGGAAGAGGGAGTACACATCACAGTAAACTCAGTTCACCCAGGATTGATAATGACACCTCTGTTTCGGTACTCTGCTCCATTAATGAGTACGTTTAACCTTAAAGCAACAAAATTTTACTTTGGCTGTTTTACTGTCCCCACGGCCCTACCATTTTGTTTCTATTGTAAAAATGACCCTACATCATTCAAGTAGTTAATAATAATTGACCTCAACACTTTTTACACCAGTTACAATTACACTGACCGTCAATATTTACCTCGAGACGTGACACTTATTAGCCTCTTCAGTCTTCACCATTTACTAATTTTATTACCTTCTCATGCAGAAATTTTGAAGGTTTTTAGCTTTTTCCTGTGGAAGAATGTACCTCAGGTAATCTGCATACTATCCTCAATATTTTTTTTACATACAAATATGGTTTTATAAATAATTCAAAGGAAAATGAATTTTACATCAGATTTTATAAGTCAATTGTTAGGTGCACCTAATATCTTAACATTATCATATTAAAAATTTCCCATTCCCCTACCCCTAAAATTGTACCTGTTCAGAAAAAAAAAAAAAAAGTGAAAATGAACCTTAAGGCGCTCGATTCAAAATGAAAATAAAGAAATCAAATCTGTACACATGAAATGTCTAATATAATTTTGGCCTTTTGAATCACATGCTTTACATTTGGGGTTTAATCTATGCCTCAGGGGGCGGCCACAACATGCTATGTTGCACTCCACCCAAGCTTGATAGGAGTAACAGGGAAGTACTTTGCAGATTGCAACGAGATGAACCCAAGTGCTTATGCTAGAGACCAACTGCTGGGCCAGAAACTATGGGATTTCACCAACAAGTTAATTACCTCTGCTTCAAAGTCTTGAATTCACCTGCCTTTCATGAATTGAAGCCGTACTTATTGTTTTTTTATATAAATTAAAAACAAGTTATCCTGCTCGAAGGAAACCTTCTCCGGCTAGCTACTTTCTCAGAGTTTCCGATGCTTTTGATTGTTTCCTGGGAAAAGTTGGTGCGATAAGAGTTAAGATTTATTGTGATTTTATCCTAAAAATCATCAAAAGCTGCTTATGTTTTACTACTATTTTTTTAAGGAATAAATTGTATATCAAATTACACTTTGTTTCATCTAATTAATAGACTAGATATCAACCAAACAAACAAAACAATGCCATTTTTGCCTTCACTCCTGAAAGATCTTACTATAAAAGCTAAAGCTGAGCCAAAAACAAAAACAAAAAGGCAATTTTTTGAAAAGTGTGTGCAACTTTTTAAAAAACCGTTTTCAACTACTTTGAATGGGAAGAAATAGACACCGAGTTTCAATCCTCTATAACTTCTAGAAAAGAGTTTTGGTGTTAAGTTTTTACAACTGAGTAAAGGAAAAATTAGAATATCAACGTCCAACCCCTAATTACATGGTAGTTGCAACTGTAGTTGAGATTAGACGTTTTAATTTTTTTATATTTTTAATCTTTAAAAAAATCACATATTGTTTATTACTACCTATTTAGAATTATAAAACAAATAAAGTGATTTTGTTAAACCACAAAATTATGACCATTGATGGAAATGACCATATCACATTTAAGCGTCATTAGCTATTAATGGGTTTACCAACTTCCCTCAACGTATTTATTTTTGAGCCTATCATATTAAGTTATACCATATTATAAAATAATGATCCTCAAATAAAAAAATTCTCAATATTAGAGGATAAACTTCTTTTTTAAGGGATGATGTTTTGTAGGTCATTTACAAAACAGTTTTTCCTCTTTTTTTTCGCATAAAAAAATTATTTAAAAAAGTTTTACTTAAAAGAATGAAAGCGTACCTTTAATTGGGCTGACCCAACGGGCATCATCTCTACTGCCACAAGGCGAGGGCCCGGACCACCCAAGCCGACCCAGCCACAACTACCGCCGCAAAAACAGGAGGCACGATCAAGTCCACCTTTGACCTCGTGAACATGTGAGCCGGAAAGCATAGGATTTCTCCAGGCAAATCCAAGGGAACCCTAATAAACCCCTCCGTTCGACACCGCCGAGAGAAAGAAGAAGTCGGCGTAATCGCCGAAACAAAAGCAGCCTCTGGAGAGAACGACGCCACCGCAACCGTCACAGTCAAGAGTACCGTCCACGTTGCGGCGTAAAGCAGCAGCGGCCACCGGGAGGAGAGTTTGTGGAACAGAGAAGCGAAGCAAGAGAAAGGCATTTGTTCGGGTGGGGAATAACGGAGGGAGAAGGAAATTATAAGGGGAGGATGGAGAAGGTAGAGAAGGGGACCTAATTTCAACGAATATTGAACTAGCTATGATCGTATCGTTGGGGGTTTAGTTGGTGGGAAAAGATTAAGCAACGCACTCCATCTCCATGAGTGTTTTTGGCCGATGAGGTTTTTGTGGATTTTTCTCGAGTTTAGTTGGACTGGAGAACAACTCCACCGTAGCGGCTGCTTTTTGATACACGTGTCGCGTTTCTTAACTTGCCGCCACGCCCTGTTTGGGAGTTCCCTTATTTACTTTTTCTTTTAAAAGGAACTGCACTGTTTTATGCCATGCCATCGCAAATTGGCAAAACCATAAGTTAAGCCCCTAAACTAACCCCAGAATCGCTATTAAGCCCCTAGACTTTAATCGATGCAGTTAAGCCCTTAAACTCTGGGATCAAAGCAATTAAGCCCTTCTTCTTACGCCAACTTAACTGCCGTTTGGGATTGCTCGCCT